TAGAAGTCTGCCACGTGTCAGGAGTTGATCTGTCCACCATGGACCAGTCGTGTCACGCCACGTGGCCTCCGTATGCCAGATAGGCCAAACAGCCACCTAGGCCCAATTTCCAAGGGAAGCCCAGTCAGCCCTAGGTTAACCTAAACCTAGTATTTGACACGTTTCCCAAGGTTATAAATACTCTAATTAATCCTCATTAAAGGGGATTCAACAATTAATTACTCTCACCTAGAGAACCTAAACACACTGATCATTCCTCCCCTAGAGGAACCAGATCTCCCAACCTTTACTTTTTTCCGCACTTATTACTCCTCAAACAAGTACTAACTTGACCGTCGGAGGCGGAGCTCCCACCACCCGGAGTCTCGTTGTTTTGCAGGTACAGGCGCACGGATCCAGTCCGGAATTGTAACTCTCCCGCAGGACATCAGAAAACCCCAAAACAGTAGTTATATAAGCTTGTCAACGATTTACCCTTTAGTTAGGGTATTTTAGTTGTTACACCGTTTTCACTATTATAGTAAACGAATGACCCTAGACCCTAAACCAACTAAACCCTAAACCCTAAACCCTTAACTGTACACCATTAGCCCTTAACCCTGCACCATATAACCCATAAACATCGAATGAGAAATTAGACTTAGTGAAATTGTATTGTTTAAAAATGATTAAGTTGTTTTTAAAAAATGGATAAAAATCTTAATAATTGGGTACTTGTATTCTTTGTTTTACTAAGTTGTTTTAATAATTGATTTCAATGTTCGTTTAACCATTATGTCAATCCAATTTTAGTTGCTCAATTTAATGATTATAGTATATGACTTTTGGACAGTACACTTTCGTTTAGGATATGTTTGAAAAAGTACGAAACTTGTCAAGTTTCTTAGGATTAATGTCAATATTTTATTTACGGTTTGGAAGAAATATGGCGAACTTGTGACAAGTGTCAGAAGGGTTGTCTAGAAGCCCACACAAGAACGACAAACAACTGAAGATAACGAAGGTGACTGCATAAACTTATAACTTTGTGACATTTTAATAAACATTATAGTCCATACTCTATTAACCATTATAGCTTTATAAAGCCTCCAAATTAAGAGTCCATTGCAACATTGTATGCGTTTCTCTCAATAAATCCTTATTTGCGACATTTTAATAGATAATTGACATCAACCTCCACAAATTGATACTATGCAGATTTGCATGATCAAAGAAAGCTACATTATCATATCGATATAATTCTCTAAAATATAATTTATTAATTGTAAAAGATATTATTTATTTATTCAATATTTATTTTAATTGTATTGTTTGACTCCAAATCGCAATTATGGTTTAGAACTGCTTTCAAATTATTATGATTATTATTTATTTTGCATGGGATAAAGACATACCATGTACGGAGTAACCACAAAAATATAAAGCCCTTCAGTTTGACGGTTTTGTCGTTCTTTTTAATGTGAAATTAAAAAGAGGAAATAACGATTGTATATGAACTATTAATAATAAGGATGCAAATCTCTTACGTGTTCTAGTTTGTGCCTAATTTCGCCAAATTCATGCTTTGATATGAATACTACCTGACTTGTTCAGTTTGGTGAAGTGACAATACATATATGCTACTTCATTCGTAAATGTGTCTTATTGAAAGATCAGATGTAGGGTCATAGGCATCCCTTTTCATAAATAATATTCAAATAAACATAATATTCAACTCTAAAAGAAGGAATTAGTACTCTTTTCATGGTTTAATACTTCATGACTCGTGTCTTTTTTTTTAATTCACGTGCAAATTATCATTAATATGTATTGGTCACTCAGAATATTGCATGGTGTAATTATCCGAAATTATGGATTTCTTTAAAGTAATTCCATAATGTTTGTAAGTCACTAAGTTGACGTGGCAGTTCATGTACTTGTCCTGTGTTGTACCCCCTTTGCTTCGCTATAAAAGCAATGATCTTGGAGTGGATATGGTACCTTTACCTTCTCTGCATTTCCAAACTCCTAATTTTCTTGAAACAAATTCACAATGGCCAACCAACCCTTAGATCCCCAAAACCCGATATACCCTCCTCGCTGCTACCTCAGTTCCTACACCTAACAAAACAACTTTCCGTGACCCTAACAACACCGGCCGACCCGAAATGAACTTCAACAAGTTCATGTACTTTTCACCCAAACCGGAAATGGCAACCTTCAATTCTGAGTGACCAATGCATTAGGGACATCATTAGGAGCCGGAGAGCCCATGGGAGCCAAAGTTGCAAGGAATGGTCATGATTGGTCCCGGTGTAACAGACCCCGTCCCTGCACACCTTCCCAATATGGTTGATCTTGTGGGTTTAGTGGATGTGAAGGACCTTTTTAACAAGCTCAACAAGGAAGTGCTTGTTTACAATCCCAACGACATTAGTGAGGTAATCCCAGATTTCCTTCTCAATGTAGTTGATCCTACTCCTGTGATTGCCATTGAGGGTCCTGTCTATCCCTCACTACTAGGTCGGTAACAACTGAACTAGCCTGTTACACACGATGGTTTTCAAGCATTTTATTTGCATTCCAACATTAGTTAAGTCATTGTCAGAGTTTTGTGCTAGTAGGTTTAGCGTTTACCCATTTATAAGGTACATGGATGTTAACCTCAAGACTAAGTATAAACAAGGTAGTACGGCATTTCCTTTAGGTGCATCAATTGTTGTGTGAAATGCACGTGGTGTTAGTCGCCCTTCTTTTAAGTCATGCCCTTGAAATTGTGTCCGTTCACAAACCCATCATTTTCATAATCACCGAAGCTAAAATTGGTCGGAAGTCTTTCAAGGAAGTGGTCAAGGCCTTTGATTATGAAGTGAATTGTTCCTTGGACGAGAGTGTCGACAATTCAGGTGGTGTAGCTGTGATTTGGGATGAGAAAGAAGGTCAGTTCGGGGGAGTTCAACGTTGCTACTATGGATACAGACAGCTGCCCACTGAGGGTGCTAGGGGAGTTGAAGGTATTTATTTATTAATAACTTCATTTTGTCGCAATGTGCTTAGGACATTTTATTAATGAAAGTACTTTGTTTTTTGGTTTTTATAGGCTGCTCTTGCACTGCCACGGAGGAGGAGGCTAGTTGACCTGGATGCATGCACAACCCTTGGTAGTAGGCTGCTGGAGAAGGATGGTTGTGCAATGTGGGGACTATTGTGACTCGCCATTTCAATTTTCAAACAATTCGTGAACTTTTATGTGTAATATTATGTTATTCGTACTATTGGTGTGCATTAGGGTAATTAATTAAGACAATATGATCTTATTTGTGAAGCTTGCTACTACTACTTGGCCTAGTAAGGCCTAATCGTGTATTAATTAAGGCAACGATGATTGCCATTTGTCTAGGTGTAAAACAATGATATGGTTTATGGTGTTATTAATGTATTATGTGTGATTAGTAATCGTTTTTTATGTTTACCTTCAACTTTTATTAATGTTGCTTTTAGTAAAACAAAATCACAATGTATGGTAAAATTGATTTAGGCCCATTAGTAGATATTAATTACAAATAAAATTAACTACTAGGTAAAATGACAACAATTGTGCATTTACTAGAAATACGTTAAGTTAACAAATAATATGACCTTCAAATTGAATTGAAATGGTCATCATTTTTTTAATAAGTAGTTAACACTTTGCAAATGTAACAAACTTGGTTTAATTGAAAAAACAATAATATAGTAGAGTATCCTACAGCGTCAACTACGGTTGTTAGCATATAACAAGTAGTAAATTTTGGAATAATAAGTACGTCAAAGAAGGATGAAAACAACTAATTTAAGATCAATCATTAAGCATCCATACAAAATGATGACTGTTTTGAAAAAATAAAAGGGAATATAAATCGCTAGGGCATTTAAGTGGCGGATTGGTGACGCTATTAGGTGTCCTATTTTGCGTTATTAGGTTTCCTAATTTGCGCTATTAGGGATATTGCATACATACTAGGCCAAATGAGCATTACTTCATGGAAGTTCCTGATATTAAAAGTTGCATGCACAAAAGAAAAAAAGATGTTATATAACTGCAGATTGAAAATCAAATCATGTATGGCCTAGACTGCACCGCAAATTAACTTAGTCCTTTGCATGCATGTGATAAAGAATTGGTTATAGATACTACTACGGACACTTATTTCTAAATGTAAAATTAAAACGAAAATAAATGCCATGTTCTAATTTTATCTACAAAATGTATGGAATTTTAACAAAAGGCCCAACTATCATTGTGAATAACTTGCCAAACTACTATAAGGTAGGCCATTATAAATGCATAAGGCCAAACTCGACGGGACTTTTTACCAAATTGAGCTTTTTTGGCAAAGTATTTACCAAATTGGTCTCGTGGCAAAAGTATTTCCCAAACTAAGCTTCTAGGGTAAAACGCTGTCTCAGACAGCGTTTTACACCCAATTTTCTTTAAAAAAAAAAATTCAAGACATAAAACTCTGTCTCAGACAGCGTTTTATGGTTAATTGACTTTTTTGTATGTATTTTGCTAAAATATATTGGAATACAAGTATTTTGTGTATGTAAAAAAGTAAAACACTGCCTGAGGCAGCGTTTTACTTAAAGAATTATGCAAAAGTATTATTCCCAATTAAACGCAGTTGCAATTCGATATAAGTCCCGCAATATTGTACAGAGGAAAACGCTGCCTCAGGCTGCGTTTTATTCTGTACAATAAACGCTGCCTTTTATTGGGGTTTTTTTTTTAATAAAATATGAAATACGAAGTTTGAGAAAAAAGTTTACTTCTTGGATTTTTTTTTTTTAAAAAAATCTGGGTATAAAACGCTGTCCGAGACAACGTTTACCCCAGAAGCTTAGTTTAGGAAATACTTTTGCCACGAGACCAATTTGATAAATAATTTGCCAACAAAGTTCAATTTGGTAAAAAATCCAACTCGACGACTAACAGTGAACCTTCGTGAAAAAATATTTATTTAAAACATCTCATCGTTCAACTATAGGAAGTATTTCAACTCTAACAATACTTCTACAATTATTCCTTTTAATAGAAATTCAATGATGCATATTGTCAGAGAAATTCTCTTAACTGAAATTCCTCTCAAACCTTCTTTTTAACTATCATTTGCTACCATTCAAGATGCATATTGTCAGAGAAATTCTCTTAACTGATCAAATCAATCATTTTCTTTTTATCTAACCCCATATTCTCAATTTTACGCAGTTTCCTCCCGCTCTAATTCTTGTTCTCCTTTTTCTGGGTTTTCTTTGTTGATTGTTAGGGATCAAACCGCCTTAATTAATCATGTTTGCGAGGATTTTCGGCAAACCCAAGGAGGGTACGAGTGCTGTTGCAACTTTGGACAAATTGAGTGAGGTTTGTTCTTGTGAATTTTTAGTTTCCGTTTTAATTAATTAATTTTTTTATGCTGATTTTTTTATTTTTTATTTTTACTTTCGATCTCTTGCAATGGATGAATCTTTGCAATGTTTTTCTTCTATTGATTGATTAGATGGGTATTTGATTTTGGTATTTTACTGTTGAAATATATGATGCTTTTTATTGGATTACTATCAAGTGTGTTCAGATTTTATTGCTATTTTTTGTTCATATGTTGGTTGCTTTTCTGAGGATGTGAATGAGCTTACAAGTTTTCTGTAAGAAGAAATTGTTTGTTGCAATCGTCATCGTGTTGGTATTGATTCGATGTGATTGAGTTGGCTGTCCTGAGATAGTGTACTTCTGTGAGGTGTATTATAAGTGGAGATAATTCATTCTCTAAAGAACAAGGCGCAGGGCTGTTAGAGAGGAATGTAACTGTTTGGATGGGATGTTTGGGATGTTCTGTTTTTTTTTTTTTTTTCTTGGCACCTTATAAAGTTGAGCAACATTTATGAGTTTACAACCAATTTGATTTATAAGGTTTTGTAAATAGTTTTGTTAATGAGGCAGCTAATTCTAATTTTAGGCTCTGCTTGATTTCTATGTCAGTTCTGGGAAAATAAAGCCTGAACATATCATCATATTTAGGCTCAGCTACCTCTTTCTTTCAATGTGAACAATTCAGCCAGTGAGTTCTAATTTCTTATTTTGCTGTTAAATGCTTTTTAAATACTTCTATATTATTATACGGTGCATTTATAGAAATTGTGCTTCTTTTTGTCGATTGTAGGATAACATAAACTATTGTTTGGGGATGGATAGGATATATTCTGTTTAGAAATAGGTTTATAAGAATGGAAGGGTCTAAGAACTTCATCTCTTCTTATATTACTAAAGTGAAAACTATTACAGTGGAGAGTGGAGAGTGGAGAGGAGAGATAGAAAATTGCTACTTCATGCAGAGAACAATGGGCAAGGAAGGATAGAGGGGTAGAGGCCACCTAAGAACTTTTTTTTGGTTCTTAATATACTGAAGAACTGGGTAACCACCTGGTGGACTTGTTTGGAATAAGGAACTACAATAATACAATATATAGACATTGGTTGGTTATCTCTTATTTACTTGGACTTTATGGAACTCCAATTCTGAGCTCTTTATATTATAACTTGTCCATGAGAACAGCTAGGATTGTTTTTTGTATAATAATCTTTGGCATTAATTTCCATGGAAGTTAATTCTATATACTGGTATAAGGAATTAGGTTCTGATTTTTTAATAGATATCTTGATTTGAACTTGAATTCTGAAATAACCAAAAAATGGTGAAATTGTATCTTTTCCTGCAATCAAAGTATCAAAATCTATTTTAAGCAATCTTAAAAAGGGTTTTATGTCATATTGTTAGTAAGCTCATAAGTTTGTCTCTTTCCTAACCTAGCCATTGCTGGTTGTTAATTTATGTTTTGTATTTTAATAGCTAATCTATTTGTGCTATGCAGAAATTGCCTCAGTATCCATTGCCGACTCATGAACTTGTTCTGAGATGTCTTATTTCAACTGAGTTTGAGTTTTGAAATTGAATCATTTTTCCCTATTCATTTGATTCTCACAATATAGTCTTGAAAGACTAACAAATTGTCTGATTCATGTTGTAGATAAATACAGTTGCTTATAAAAATAGACATACTGCTGAATTAAGAACAAGCTTTTTCTTGACGATGTCAGCTTCGATATGCCGGAGGTAAGAGATTGAGTTCTCTGATTATGTCAGTTTTATGTGGTCATTTATTCTATTTATTACGTTCCAAACCGTCAATTATGTGGTCTTTTGTTTGTGTCATGGCAATACAGGTAACCAATACTGAGAGCAGTGATGATGTAACATATCGATGTCCTCCAAAAACAGAGTTTTAGTGCTTCATCAGTACTCTTGTCACATATAAGGTATTCATATTCTAAATGATAGAGATACTATAACATCTTATAGATTCATGACAGTCAATGTGACTTTAAGCTTGATTACTATCAAAAGAATATTGTTATTTTGATTAAATGATGGTTATAATCTGATTAAATGATGGCCATATCTTTACATAATTAAAAGATATTGTTATTCTCGACTTCCCGCTTTATTTATTTATATAATTATTTCATATATTAATTTTGATTAAATTGAGTGGCAATGTATCATTGCGCGCGGTTCCGATTGGTTCTCCAACTACTAGGCTCAGCAGTAGTGGTTCAGCCGCTTAACAAGAAACTTTTATTTGCTTTAAGAAAAAATAGTTTCAGGAAAATAAGGTAAGATTGCATCAGATTTTTGTGATCAATCTTATTATTGCCCTTTTCTGCTCTCACTTCTTTTATCTCAATCTCCAATCTGTTACACAACTGATGCAAGTCCCTGATTTCAGTCTATGTAGACAAGACTATTCTTGTAAAGCATGTGGAACGGTATTTCCAAATTACAATTCCACATGATTTACCCATTAGTAATGAGTTACTGAATAGATGTCCTTATGAATTACATTATTATAGAGAAGCTGGCATTAAGTCCATTATGAACTGGCAGCCTTGTTAAAGTCAATAATTTGCTTAATCATAGATTTATGGAGAAAATCTTTTCAACTTCATGCTCTCACACTTCACAATTTATTGACTATCTTAATTACTAAAACAGCATTTTGAATGAAAACTAGCTCAATGGAAGTATTCCAAAAACATTGGGGCTTGTACGGAATTTAACTGTAATGTGAGTACATGTTAGATCTATTTTAGTGTAGCTAACTGGAAAGGATTACCACCATTTCAGGGTAACTAACTTTTCTCTGGTTTGCAGTCGTTTGGACAGGAACTCCTTGAGTGGATCTGTGCCCCGAAATTTGAGTCACTACTGTGAGTGAGCTGTAAGTAGTTCGAGGTTTTTTTTTTGGTTACTTTCTTTATGTCATGATTACAAGTTCAAATGTATAATGATGATGGCACATTTTTTTTGTTGGTGGTACTGTATTACAGCTACCTGGCAAATAACAATTTGAGTGGGCCAATCCCTGACCTTACAAGAATGACTCTCCTTACATTTGTGTGAGTAGCAGCAATATCGAACTGTTGGTAGCTTGATATTTTTTGTTAGCATCATCATCAAGATATACTACGTAGCTTATTACAAATCATTTTTTCTGAAGATATCTGCTAGAATTCTGCCTTGTGAATTTTTGTTGATTGCCCCCTATGTTTTGCAGAGGGTTGAGTAATGATAATTTTGATGCAACGTCTGTTCCTCAGTGGGTGGGTTGAGGAGTTACCAAATTTAACTACATTGTGAGTTTCTCTCCCTTTTTCTTTTTTCTGTATTTAGATTTAGTTATAAGTTAAGCAAGTGGAACAATGAAAAAATACATTAGCGAGACATGTTTACACGGTTTCTAAGTTTCATCTGACCCCCTCTTCTGTTCCATGAGAAGGAAAAGCTTTAGTAGAGATATTGGGATCATTTTGACGTTGAGGATACATTAGGAATATCCATATGATTGGGCGCATCATGATCGTTTAACTTTTTGCCCAAATAAATTATATTACTGGAGAGAAAACTTTTTAGCTTTGAATTATTGCTGTCTAAACAATCATGTTAATGAGCTATCCTTAGTTTCTCAATTCTTGTGAATCAACCGACCAATATATACATACCTTAACTGTAGCAATGAAGTAGTTGTCTCGGCTTTTGCATTTCTATCAACTGCAATATTAAGACACAATTTGGAGGAAACCCATGTACTGAGATAGCTTATTACAATGAGATACTGGCATTCAGTTTTGGGTATTGTGGTTTAGAGATATTTCCTTGCACCTCTGACTTTGTTGTATTACGCACTTATCATCATGGCATTTGACTATTGGTTGATGCAGAAGCACTAATTCAACTATTCAAGTGTTGTGTCAATGAGAAACTTGAATGAGTTTTAAGATTTATGGGGCTCAGTGGCTCGGAAGGCTAAAGCGGTCCTTGGATGATGATGTTCCACCTGAACAAGCTGAAGCCCCTAGGACAGCTCGTCAGTATGAAGATAATGCTGCTTTTGGACAGCAGGTGAGAAATCCTTGTTATAATAGTGGACTAGACCATGATAAACATCTTGTTCTTAAATTCTCTTCTTCCACAATCCTCTTAATTACTTTCTCTCCGCAAAGCAATAAGGAAAAGAATTAATCCTGTGTAAACGCACACTAGAGGTGGAAAATTATCCTAGAATGATAGTATACCTGTGAAGGAAAGGGATAGAAAAGATTTGTGTATGAAAATACTCATAAAAGAGCATTTTGTTGCTTAATCTCGAATCTTATTTTAAATGGGTAGACGTTGTAATTTCCATTTTTATTTGATGATCACTGCTGTATTGATATATCATACTGATAGACTGATAGTACTTTCATTATTTGAGTTATTTGATACTAGGATGGCCGCCATTTCAACCTGAGCAAGGCCGCAAAAAGCCAGACAAAGCTGTATTACGGAAGGGATTTGGTGCTATTACTTCTTCATTTAATTATCTTGGAAATGCCTTAGAGGTAAGCTTGATGTAATTACTTAATAATGCTGAAGTATATAAAGCTCTCAGCTGTGAATTTGCTCATTTCGTTCTATGTTTAGGCTTTTTACCAATCCTTGTGTGGCTCAGACACCTTATGCTATTATGTCCTCGGATATTATCTTAATAGATCAAATCCTTGAGGAGAGCTTCATGTGCCATTTTTTAATTGCAAATCCCAGTATGCTGTAGAGATTCATCAAGTTTACATGATTGGATTCTCTGGAAGATTTTTTTATGAGCAATTTTTGTCGTAGAGTGTTATGAAAGGTCCATTTATGGCCTATAGCCATCTAATATGTGTGTATCTTTTTGGATAAAGAAATATGGGGGAGTTGTAAAAAGTAAAAAGATTTGTTATTAATTGAAGTAAATAATTTGACAATTCTTTCACGTTTCTGAGATGGTGGAATCTGGATAGTCGCTGTTCAACAAGCTAAGCCAAGATTATGAAGAGCGACTTCTCATCTAAGGTATTAAATGTGAATATCACTTGATTACATACAGATGGGAAGCTTGCTTTGTTCCCCTATTATATTGGTTGTTATAAGATCCACAAGGAGAAGATTGAGAAATGGCAGGAAGAGATAAGGAGCTGAGGGCAATCGATGCAACTAACAAGGAAATGAATGATCGCCTGAATAATGTCCAATTCCTACTTCAAACTATTCATATCGGCCAATAAAGATTCAGCATTTCAGCTGCTAATTAGACCTTGATCCATTGCCCTTTCGGCTGTGAATCATGGATTTGCCTGTCGACAACCAAGTTCACAAGTGCAGGTGATGATTTCTCAAGATTGTATTTATTAGTTGATACATTGTGACATGTTGTGTCCGTAGTAACTTTAAAATACTGCATATTAATTTGTTTTGAAAAGCTTTATATTCTATGTTAGAAATTGATAGATGTCAACATATGGCAAACAAATGCAGGGAATGACAGTGTCTATTAAGGAGTAACCGTATCATTTTAAAGAGGATTTGAAGAGCACGATGTGAGTACATTTTGATCTACTTGTATTTTCTTTCAGACAACTGATCATGAGTTGGTAACTTGATTTTTTAATAGATATCAAGCCATCTAATATGTGTGTATCTTGCTTTGATGGCTACTGTTGTCGCAGTGATTGAATTTTTTCCCGGATGGTTTGATTGTGTAATTGGCTTACGGAATATCAATTTCATAATACAGTTTATTGTTAATTGATTTTTCTGTATAATCAGTTTAGGATTCTTCTAATTTAATGTGGAGAATTGAATTAATTAAGTTTACAACTTAGAGTATGTTGTTAATTTATTTGTCGCCGGTGACAGCCAGTGTAAAATTTTGTCACACCGCTTGGCATGAGCAACAATGATTAAGAGTAGTACTAGGATGGGTGACCTCCTGGGAAGTCCTCATGTTGGTTCATGTAGCCGACCCCACTAATGGGATTAAGGCGTTGAAGGCAAAAAAGAAGAAGAAGAAGAAGAAGAAGAAGAAGAAGAAGAAGAAGAAGAAGAAGAAGAAGAAGAAGAAGAAGAAGAAGAATATTAGGTTTTGGTGGGTTAAGCAATGTGTGGTAGTCTGCATGCAAAAATGTTTTTGAGGGCGTAATACAGGGTTTTAAATTCCCTAGACGGAATCTTTTCCTTCATTTCTTTGGCTGGCTCATTCTAATTGAAGCTAAATAGGAGAGAATGAAGGAGTCTGACCTTGAAACTTACTATATTTTTGGTTTATCCACAATATGCATGTTTGTTACCGTGTTCAGCCACTGATCTACATCAAAATATATTTATTTTTCTTACCATGGACATCTCAATTTAGCTTTGCAGGGGGATTTGAGTATTTATTTTGTTGTGTTTTCGAGCTGATGTATGTACAAGTTTATTTAGCATATTAACTTATGAAAAAAAACTGCGAATAATTCTTATCAAAGGGGATAGGACTGTACTATTGTTAATATAGCATTGCAAGAGTTAGGCCCTGTTCTTTTGAGCTTCTAGCAGGGAGTCACATTTTATTACCCCATTATTATTGTTATTTTTATTATTACTATTATTATTATCACTATTATTATTATCGCATTATTATTATAATCATTAAATATTATTATTAAATATTAATTATTATTATTATAATAATAATTATTATTATTAAATATTAATTATTTATTAATATTAAGTATTAATAATTTATTATTATTATTAAAAAGTAATAATATTATCTTGTTATTATCTTTAAAATATTAATTTTTATTATAAAAAATCAATTATTATTATTATTATTATTAAATTTTAATTATTATTATTATAATTATTAAATATTAATTATTTATTATTATTATTAAATTTAATTATTATTATAATAATTCAATATTAATTATTATTTTTAAGCAGAGCAGAGCAGATTCAAGCACACAGAGTAGAGCAAGACTCAGCAAAGCAGAACAACTTTAAAGAACAGGGCCTTAGACTGTATGTATAAGTTTATAATGCAAACTTCTTGTGCTTTGTTCTATAGGCTGCAAGTATTCATGGACCAATTAACACATGGAAATCAAATTATATGGATGGCTTACTATTGATGCAGTAGAAGAGGTCAGACTCCGTCAGAGGTCGACATTTTCATTGTAAGTTTTAATCATTTCAAGCAGATTTGAATTGATTTACCTTCCAGAGGCTTACGGAATGTTCGCTTTAAAAAGTTGTCACTTTATTTACATTTTTTGGAAACATGTACTCCATATCATGGTCTTGAACTAACTGGAGGAGCACATTGGCGATTCATGCATTTTTTCTGCTCCTATTCTCTGCCTCTTGTTTTTTATGTTTGTTGCGGTCAAACCTCAAATATTTGCTTCCTTTTGTGAAACCTATTCATTAAGTTTATGCTTTCGATATGAAATACTCACTGGTTATGGTGATTTCACCTTGTGTGTGTAGATTAGCTGACACATCTGTCTGTTTTACCCATTATCTCTAGCATAAGCCTCACATATATATATATGTATTTAAGCTTTTATTTCAGCAGTTGGAAATGCATATTTGTGCTTCCATAATCTGGTTGAGTTGGTTTTTATGATTTACAATTATTAATGATGCTATTTCACTGATATTCTCTATTCTTGAGAACTTTGTAATGACATTTGTTAAAGAATGCTCCATATATTTTTCGATAATAATAATAAAGAAACAGAGGATATTGGAAAAATATCTTCTGTAAAGTAAAGCCTTGCCCTTCTGTTTGTGATTGCCAACTTTAGCTGTTTGATTTCTTCCCTATCAATTCACCCTGCACCATCAGAACTTTACTGTGCAATTTTCATCTTCAAGTATTGTATGGACTTGGATTTTTGTGCTTTTTTTTTCAAATCTGGAATGGTATTAAATTTAACTTGGAATTAAGTTGTGTTTTTTCATTAATGTGCCTCCTATAATACAGCGTGGTTTGATGCAGCTACTATCCCACAGAGATTTTCAAATGGCTATCTGCTTATCGCTGGGGTGAGTGGAGGTGTTTCATGCTTTACTCTTCATGTTTCCATATGCAGGATATAAACTATACTCATTTAATTTTCCTATTATTGTCACTTTCTTTCTGTTGGGATTTATAGTCTTATTTTTGTACAGATAACTGATTTTGTAGCTGTGGTTAGAATACTTGATGTAACTCTGGTTGTTTCCTTACTGGACCACAATTCCTATTGCAAAGATGATAGGTATGCGGGGCTTTTATTTTTTTTACTAATTAGAATGAACTTTGTGTCTCTCAATACTAATGTGACCATTAATTAATTGTCTCATGTCTAAAATCCTCAATGTGCAGTGACTTTGCCGACAATTTTTATGTTGATTGGTTCATTTCTTCTCTTGCAAAGGATGTGAAAATTGTGAAAAAATTTCCAAATAAAATCACGAGATCTATGGAAAAGCCCCCCTATACGATGCGAGTGCCTAGAAAGTCAAACCTCGAAGATTATATTGAACTTTTTGCCTATGGCGCTTATCTTGTGTATTCCTTTACCTTTCTCATTCCTGTCTTGCAGTTGCCACAGATGGTTGGCTATTAAGCAATAAAAGATATTGGAAGATTGGAATCAGGAACAAGTGTTCACATTCCATTTGTTGCACTGATAGCACACGCAATGTCGTAAGATAGACAAATATATAGGGTGGTTGTCTTAGGTTTCAAGATCAAGTGCTTGTCTACTTGAAAATGTGTATAGGTGGATCCAAGTTCTAGACTCTAGAGCTTTTTCTTACTTCTGATAGTTTTATTTTTTTTAATAAATATTGTTTATATGTGTTGCTGGGAATGCTTCTTTTCGAAACTTAGGAAGAACACAGGTGTCACACACGTGTCATCGTCAAGCTGCGGAACAGAATCAGAAGACTTAGTTTATTTTATTATAAACTGTTATGCAGAGATTGTACCCAAAGTTCAAATATTAATATAAATTCATTTGTTACTTTATTTCCCATCTTTATTTATTTAGACTCGAAATTTGTGTAAAAAAATTTTGGCACGCTTGGTGGGACCGAAATTTTGTTAATTATTAGGTGTCAGATATATGTAAATAAGGAGATGATATCAAAAAAATAAGATATTTATCTTCAAGATCTCGTATAATATTTGATAGTTATCTTGTTTACTACTCAACGACATTTTATATACAGAGAGTCGTTTTTAGGGTTTAATTAGGCTCAGGTGGAATAAGTAAAAAAGACTCCATCTCCTCCCTACCACCAAACATTGTAGGTACAAGTATGCCTTAAATAGACAAGGTCTCGTACTACAAACAAATATCAAAACCCTAGCCCTTTGGAGAGAGGAATCAAGAGATTTACGAGAGTTGTAACTCATAAATTATCAATGAAATAATTGTTTTCGTACATTCTTCTACCTCTTTAATTATATATTGCAGGCTTGAACTTTTATTGTTATAAATATTTTTGAAGAACCTTCATATAATTTGATTGTGTGAGGAGTGATGAGGGAAGGGGTGTTTACTGGGATATATAGATGTTTGTCAGGTTATGGTTCTGTAGAAATTTCATGCTTTCATAAAATTTGGGAAGATATTCAATGCATGGCTGAAATGTTTGAGATGACTCACTTAGTGTTAACTTGTTCATAAAAGCAAGGGTGACTTTCATTTATTTTATTTACACAACACTAGGGTTATTAGGCCGAATGCTATATGTTGTGTTACCCCGAACTCTCCTCCACCATGAGTATCGCGTGTCTGACTATTTTTGGAATTAGAAACACTCTTTTGACTGTTTCCCCGTATCTGCTATTTTTGGAATTGAAGGATCATATCCTCCGATCCTTACTTAGATATGACACCTAAATTCGAGGCTTTGCAACATAGGCTATATGTGTTTGTTTAATCTAATATTTTTCTTCTGACAATGTATTTGGTACATTTGAATCATTGTTAGAATCTTTTATCCCTTAATTTAGCTATTGTAGTAACCTTTGTAACTTTTGTGGGCCTCAATAATTATTTTCTACAACTTGTGGCTTACAGAGCTCTTCCAGATGCGTATATTATGGCAAGTTCATGCCCTGTTGAAGTTTCAGGCGTGAAATTGCAATTCCCTCTCTTATCCCCTTTGCTTGCCTCTCTCCATTGAAAATAAATGTATCTTCTACATTTGTTTGTAGTTTTCATGCACTATAATAAGTTTTCATAAGACAGGGGGAACAATTATGGCTCTCCTAATATTTCTTTTTCTTTTTTTCCACAGATTATATTATAAACCTCTAAACAATTCCAACAGTTTTGTTCATTGGTCCCTAAAGGTAAAAATTGAATTCATAATGCAGGTGCTAGTCACAGTGGGCTGCCACTACTACCTGGTGGTTGCTGCTGCAATCAAGCGCTCGATGCTGCTGAAATCTGTTCTTGCTTGACGACTCTGCTGTTGCTATTACTTGTGCTTGACGCACGCTGTTGTATTGTTTATATACTCCTAACCATAACCATTGTAAATGTTATTTTTTTCGATGAAATTGTAACATCACCAGAATTTATAATACAATTATCCAACATTATTTATGTGTAAATGTTTGTATCAAGTTTATTCAGATATAAAATGCCAAAAAAAAGGTACATTCAAGGCAACTATTCTAACAAAAACCAGTACCTTATTAGTCACACATGGGAAAAAAAAATAACAGGGAAATGAAATACTCAATGCTTTTTTGTGTAGAATTTTTTTGTATAAAATCAAATAATTATGGGAAAAAAGTAGATGAAAAAATGTCTATTTAATTGTGGTTTACAATTAAATAATGAGTCCATTCGATTTTTGAGAATGCTCAAAAGCAGGGTATCAAGACCATATCTTGGATAAAGAAACACCTGTTAAGTGAACATTGAATATTTCCATCGAAAATTATCCCGAATCAAGGTCATTTAAATGATGGACGATTAATGACCACTTGAGATTAGTGTGTAGTATGATTTATAGCACCGTTTCTTGTGCTACAAGGACATGATTGTCATAAATCATTTGCATAGGTATTTGTTTGGAACTATACCGGATCGAATACTTTAAGAGATTTAAAATTGTCATAAGTATGTTTCTCATTATAGCTATCGAAACATTTTTCCTCGACCATGAGTATTGTAAGTTCTCTTGTTTGAGTATTGGTCCGTTTTGATGTTGTCAAACGTCTGCCGTAAATGGGGATTATAACGGCAACACTTGGGCGAGTAGGTCCTCTTAGTAAGGGAAGCTAACAATACAAGACTGGGAATGTCCCTCTATTAACAATAGGGAACATGTCTTTGTTGTTAACAAGGCCTCTCGAAGAGCAAGATTGTGAAAATGCATGGCCGTGCTCAGATGGATTTTAGAAATCATCTATTAATTGACAGTCGGACTCGGAAATCGAGAAACACTTCTGGACGAAATAAGGATGACGAAGAATCTTACCATATAATTCATGAAGAGACATTAAGTGACATAGGAAATGGGCTATACACTAACAGCGCACTCTAGTTCAGACAGGTACAATGTAGCAGCTGCCTATGCCCCTGGACGACTGGTTGTCTAATTCCAGGTTAGGCGATCAGTCGGCCATGTATCCAGCCGGTTTCCAACGTATTTTGATGAGTACGTTAGGCTTGCTTAACTTAAGACTGGAAAGCAAAACAAGTTCTAGAGTTCTGGTTTGCTAAAAAGCAGTCGCCCTGTGAACCAACTCTTCAAATATGTCTGGTTTGAAGAGAAAACATCTTAACAAGGTTAAGGGTACGGGAGCTCTGGTTCACCTTTAGACAAACGGTCCCGTCATACCTTTTTGAAATCGGCTAAGTATGAGAGTGATTACTCGCTTGCCATGGTTATGTTTGAGTAGTAGAGGCACTAAGCGGCATAGGCCGGTTAGTCCCCTTGATTCACCAAATTTTGTTGGCTTTTTACTCAAGGTGTGAGAACTCAGTAAGAATAGGCGATATATGAAAACCTTTTTAAATTTCAAACCAAGTTTTAAGGAGTGACTATAAGTAAACATGGACGTTACTTAGTCGCCGTCACAGTTGTTTGAGTAATAGAGGTACCAGGCGGCGGAGACCGGCTGGACCCCTTTGTTTGCCAATGTTTGTTGGCTATTAACTCAAAAGGTACCGGCTGTACTTATCCCAAGTAGTGCAGTCGGTTATCCGACGCGGATGTTAACTGCTAACACTCGTTGGACCAGTGAGAGTTATCCTTGTCTCAAAAACGGCTACATGGTTGTCTTAGTAGACAATCGTATAGGTGCCGTGTAGTTAGTTTATAGAACAATGTTCCACCCAAAAGGGAGCTGCTCTCTGCAACGAATTTCATCCGGATGGATGCCGTCGGACGCCTGCTATGATTTTGGGACAGGTCGGATTAGTTTTTAAAAGTTGGATCAGTTGGCTTGGCGCCTGGTCTGATTATTTCGGCCATGGGCCTTAGATAGTTCTTGGTGAACTATGCATGAGAGAGTAGCCGGCCGGTTGTATAGAACAGGCGGCATGCCCCTCTTAATTGATCGCGTATATAAAAAGCATGAAGAGTAGCCGACTGTTTTACCAGTAGGCATGTCCCTCGAAATACAAAATAAAGTGAATAGCGAACTTTAATTAGTAGCTATCGGCTATTTACATTATTCAAAAATAATACTTTTTGAGATTATCTACATTCCAGGTTCGAGGCAAGGGTTGGCCGTCTGGTGTTTCCAGGCGGTAGGTACCGTCTCGGACCTCTTCATAAATTCGGTAGGGACCTTCCCAGTTGGGAGTCAGTTTGCCCGACTCATTAGCCCTACCGACTGCTTCCATTTTTCTTAGCACAAAGTCACCCACTTTGAGTGGACGCCTATGTACTCTTTTGTTATATGATCTGGTCATTCTCAGGCGGTAAATTTCATGGCCCAAGGATGCATTGCCCCTTCTTTCTGGGAGTGAGTCCAAAGCCAGACGCATGGACTCCCAGTTCGCCTCTTCGTCGTATAACATTACTCGAAGAGTCGGCTCGTAGTGTTCAATTGGAAGAACAGCTTCTGCACCATAGGTTAGGAGGAATGGAGTTTCTCCAGTCGACCCTTTTTCATTCGTCCTAATGGCCCAGAGAACATGTGGTAGTTCATCTGCCCATAGGCCGCCTGCTCGTTCAATCTTCTTCTTGAGACCGTTTGAGATGATCTTATTAAAAGCTTCTACTTGGTCGTTTGCTTGCGGACGGCCGACTGATGCAAAGTAATGCGAGATACCTTGGTCTCCCAGCCAGTTTTTCAGAACAAGCGTCTCAAATTGGGGACCATTGTCAAAAACCATAGACATGGGCACCCCAAACCGAGTGATGATATTTTTCCAGATGAATGAAATCACATCCTTCGTTTTGATTCCCTTAACAGCCTCTGCCTCTACCCATTTAGTAAAGTAGTCGACTGCAACAAGTATGTACTTCCTGCCGCCTGTAGCAGGCGTATAGGGACCCAGAATATCCATGCCCCACTTAGCAAATGGTAGTGGGCTATGGATAGCAGTGAGATCAGTAGCCGGACGGTGAATTAGCTTGCCAAACCTTTGACACTTGTCACATTTTTTCACCATCTCCATTGCATCTGCTTCTAAAGTAGGCCAAAAGTAACCCTGCCGCCTTACCCGTTGGGCAAGCGACCTGCCGCCTACATGGGAAGCGTAGTAACCAAAGTGAAGATCTTCTAGAATCTCTCGTCCTTTTTCTGGAGTAACACACTTCAAGAAGGGTTGGAGGTACCCTCTCTTGTGAAGTTCTCCCTTTATCATTTCAAAATTGGACGCTCGTTTTTTCAGTTTGGCCGCCTGGTGATGATCATCCGGCAAGGTGTCGTTTGTTAAGTATGCCCTGATTGGATCCATCCAGGTTTAACTTCTATCTAAAATTCCAATAGGATCTTCCTCAATGCTTCTTTTCTCCATAACCTCCCAGAAAACGGTTCTTGGAGTATCA